GTGCCCGTCTGCTATCATTTCCCATCTCTTTTAATTTTGTTCTTCGCTTTGCTTGTTTATTTACCGCACGTAATTAAATCCTGCCACGCATATGAATCAACCGACGACAAGCGAAAAGCCACGAAAATTTTACCAAAAGGTTCTGACAGATTCACTTGCCCGCATTAGCCGTGCTCATTAACCTTGCACGTCATGCAATGCCAAGTACAATAGGAAACTTAATACTCTATTCTTTTGTATTTTTGTTTTGTTTTGTTTTTGCCTCCAGCTCGCCAACTTCACCTTGAATAATGACTGCACATTTTTAGTATTTAAATAGTATGTATTAAGGATTTATTACTACATTGTTTTTATTTCGTACATAAAAGTGTTAACTTAAAATCACTATCACTATTTAATATATGTACGAGTGTGAACGCGTATAATCTCCAACATCTCACGTGGATTGAAAAAAGCATGAAACCCTTAAGATCACTTAAAATTTACTTAGCCGAAGAATCCACCTCTCCGACCACCACCACCGAAGAAACCGGGCCCTCCGCCACCGAAACCGCGCCCTCCGCCACCGAAACCGCGCCCTCCACCACCGAAACCGCGCCCTCCACCACCGAAACCACGGCCTCCACCACCGAAACCACGCCCTCCACCACCGAAACCGCGCCTTCCACCAAAACCGCCTCGCCTTCCGAAGCCAAATTGGCGTGCCTCTCGCACACCTTGATTCTCATGTGCCGATCCAGCATCCACTGTTAACAACGCAGCCGCTGCCTGTGGGGTGTTACCAACCGCATCGACAACAGAGATGCCTTCCACCTCCTTTTTGCCAGCCACAGTCATAATACAAATAGACAGGATCCATATTGTAGCAATAAAAACCAATGAACGCATCTTTGCAAATTAAACGTTTGTTGACAATTTTCTTTTCTTTAATAATATACTTTTAAATAATACTTAATAAGGAATTTATATTTTCATCTGCTCTTAACTGATCTAGCGAAACACTGAACGTTAAATGATAACTGATTTGGCGACTTCGTACATTTATAGCCATTTTTCTGTTAGTCATCTATTGCCTATTAGAACATCGATTAAAAATTTACGAAAAAAAAATTTTTGCGCAGTGTCTTTCTACATACTCTTATTTCTAATATTTTATTCTGATCTCTTTTCAATTATGTATGAATAGGCAAAATTTTTGGATAGAGGATTTTTCTCTCGTTATGAAAGTATTAAACACAAATTTAATGACTTGCATACATATGTACACATGAGCAAACCAATGTAAACGAATTATTCAGCTCACACATCTACATAATCATAATTACGAACACTATACCTGCCTGTAAATGCTTACCGGTAAATAACTATCGTTGTTAACCAGCAGAGAAAACCTGATTCCTTTTACATCTTTCTAATTTTTTCTCTAAATACATACATACATTTTTAAGTATGTACATACATACATTTGTAGGAAAACGTGTTCTTCGCGATTATTTGTGAAGCTTTGAACTTAATCAATTACTGTCAGCGCTCAGAAATGACTCGTCATTAATACCCAAAGTTCTAGTAGACATCTAACAATATGTATCACTTGCATACCAGCCTTATTATTTTGGTAATGGTAAACTGCTTATTCAAATGGGAATCCCAAAAGTAGTACTATGTACTCACATTCTCCAGATGCATTGAGAATAATTGGTTTCGGTAAGCCTTTAACAGCTGTAAGCTTACCACATCAGCAACATAGAATTTTTAATTTGTAAGAACGCTGCTATCTTTTGAGCAAATGGAAAAGTTAGCATAAATACTTATTCGATTGTGTATGAAGATTTAACTGCTGAAGTCATCTTACTTCGCTTAATTCAAACACGGCGATATACTTGGAGTGCAATGGGTTATGGTCATTCTTCTGGGTAAGTAGTTACAGTTGCACCGCCAAACCTATGACGACTATTGCATCCGCATTCTCCTAATCTCCTTGCGTAACCTCCGACTGCGGCACAAAAAGCGGAAGCTTCAGATTTGCTCGGTTGTGTGCTGGGTTTGTAACCCGCCAAGTTAAACAGAGATCCAAAGAAAAGTTCCAATTTGCCTAATGGGACCCACAGTTTTACTCCGACTCCGAATGGCCCACAGCGGCCGGCGATATGCGTCCGAGGGTATGCACCTGGAATTTCCTAGCCCTTAATGGGGCTGGCACGGTAGGAAAACCATGGGTTCTTGTGACGTCTACTACAACTCCGTGTGCACTTAGGTATGGGATGTGGGCGTGGTTATCGTCCGATTTTAAAAATTTTCGGCGATTTTTTATGCTGTACCAAGCCCAACAACTGTGCCAAGTTTCGAAGAAATTAGTGCAGCGGTTACCGAGATATACACATGTAACCATAAGTGGGCGTGGCTACGCCCATTTTCCAAAAATGTATAACCCTCTTAGTTTTCGTCTAAAAACTGTTGTAAATATTAATTTTGAGTGAATAATCTTCAGTAGTTACTAAAATATCGCAGTTTTCGTATTTCCGAAAATTACCGTTATATGGGAAGTGGGCGTGGTTATTGCCCGATTTTTTAAATTTTCGGTCATTTAGTATGCTGTATCAAGGCCACCAACTGTGCCAAGTTTGGAAGAAATTGGTGCAGCGGTTACCAAGATATACACATGTAACCATAAGTGGGCGTGGCTACGCCCATTTTCCAAAAATTTATAATATTCTTATTTTTCGTCTAAAAGTTATTGTAAATATCAATTGTGAGTGAGTTACCTTCAGTAGTTACTAAAATATCGCAGTTTTCGTATTTCTGGAAATTACCGTTATATGGGAAGTGGGCGTGGTTACAGTCCGATTTCGCCCATTTTCAATACCAACCTACCTTGGATTAAGGGAAACCTACGTACCAAATTTCGCTGAGTTATCTCAATTTTTGCTCGAGTTATCGTGTACACGGACGGACGGACAGACGGACAGACGGACAGACGGGTGGACAGACAGACATGGCTTAATCGATTTCTTTTTTCATCCTGATCATTTATGTATACATTTGTCTATATCTATCTCGATTCGTTTTGGCTGTTACAAACAACCGTTATGTGAACAAAATTAATATACCCTTGTGCACAAGTGCGCTCGGGTATAAAAGGCAAATTTGATCAAAATACATGTGCGAGTGTGGCAGCATTTCCCTGCATCGCACGAAAACCGAACCGTTGCCTATTGGGATATGTTAGGCCGTTCAGAATGCAATAAAAAACATATTTTTAAGTTTCAATTAAAAGTTATATGGTCTGACAAGACCGCTTTCAATCAGATGGCCGGGCATGGTATTGGATCGAAGACCCAAATTAAGCCCATGCGCAGCATGTAAGGCAAACTGTTTGGGGTTGTATTTAAAAAATTTTGTTTGTCCGTTAGTACGTATTATGCGTAAGGAACAGTGTCTGTTCATATTTCAAAACAAAATTTGCAAGATGTAGTCGAAAAAATGAGAGTTTCTGCTGAAAAATCACCCAAAACACACATGTTCGCAAAGCCTGGATACAAAAGCAAAAATTTGCTAATTTGAAATGACCTCCACAATCCGCGGACATGAATCTCATCGAGAATTTGCGAAATCAACTAAAAGCACTGCTTAAAGGTATCAAAATCCGTAAAATCGTGTGTTAGTAGTTCTTTTTTCATGAAAATTGTTAAAAAGTTCTTAAAAATATATGAGTGCAAAACTGTAACATCTGCCTTAATTTACATTTTTGTCTGCTGGTTTTTTTATTGTTGTTGTATAGACTTCAAATCATTATGAGAGAGGGAGTCGGGATGTACCAACAAGAATATACCACAAAAGTATGGAAGTCGTTAGAACTTGGAAAGATAGCGATGGCTGAAGTAAAAAGTGTTACACCATGTTACAGTTTTGCCCGTCACTGTATATGTAAGTGTACATATCTAGCCATGTATAAATTTTCGGATAATTTGACGATCCGTTTTCCCACTAAAGTGTGTGGCAGAAACGTATGTACAGAAAACTACCGAAAGTTGTTTGTGAAACGGATATATTCTCGGCTGTTTTTTCTGAAATTTGTCTGATTGAATTTTTATGTCCCATATGCTTTCCTTCTGCACGTCACAGATACTTTTTCATGGTTCAAAAGAAATTAAATTAAATTAAAATTAGGAAGCGCCTGACGGAATTCGAACCCGACACCTTCTCGAAGCTAACAAAAGCGGCGCACTCCTCTGCACGCTCAGCCACTGCCGACTACGTATGCATGCTTTCAAATGTTTAGCTTGAGCAAATAATATACAATTATTGCTTTCAAATGGCATCACATTTTCTGGATACGAAAATTGATTATAACTGTAGGAGTTCTTTCGATGCGTTTTCGGATACGGAAAATTAAACTAAACTGCACTGTCGGTAAAATTTACGTTTCTTTGCTGGCTGGGTACGCATCCCAAGCATGCAGAGCGGCGACAACACACACATGCATACATAGTACATCTAGCATGCTGTGATGTTGATGGAATTTCAACATTTGAAAGAAAACTTATATGCCTGGGTGTAGCTCAGTACACAAAGATGCCTGCTGATGTTGATATCAGAGATGGTCAGGAATTCCACTTCAGTCAACATGCAAATTAAATATTTTTTTTTTAGTTTTCGTCTGGATTATTCACTTCACGGATGTTTTTTTTTTCAGAACGGACGCAGTCATTTTAATACGCGCGTAATTGAAATGAATATTTCGTTGACGTGTATAGTAAGATCAATTACGTTTCTATTGAATTTTAGTATTTTTTCCCTCAGTCTATAGGAGCGCAAATTC